CCGCCAACACCATGTATCGCCTCTTTCAAGCTTACCTCGAGAACAAAATTTCCAGCGATTTGGTGAATCAGTACATCGAGTTGATATCCTTCAACAATGTCGAACTGTACAACTTCTACAAGTCTGTCATCCAGAGACAAAACGAAAGCTCATCCGAAGCAGAAAGCAGCGATACTCAGCAGCGCTTCAAGAGGAATGTCTTAGATCACATTGTGAGTAGTTTCAAGTTTGGGGGTCTTGTGCCCGAAGACTCCCTGCCTCAGTCTGACGAACCTCCGTCTGAAACATTCATCAGGAAAGACTACGAAACAGAAGAAACAAGCGATTACGATGCAGGAGACAAATCTGAGGTACTCTGGGAAACATTAGCTAGAGATTACAGAACTGAAGAAACTCACGATTCCAACCCAGAAGAGAAATCGGAAACGAAGACGGTATCTCGGAATGGATATAGCTACCCCACGTCTTCCTACAGGAGCTCAGGAGGGTACGGTGGTGGGGGGATGATGTATGGTGGCAGCAGCGCTGGTTACATGAGTACACTGGATCCGTATGTGGTACTGGGAGCTTTGTCTCTGGGGATACTTCTAGGCTTCCTGCTCTACCGTCTCGTCAACGGCACTCGAAGAGGCCGAAGTGACATCGGCGATGGGTCATTGTCATTGTGGCTCTCTGACATACCCAACCAGGTCCTGCCTTGGGGCACCAGCATAGAACGCGTAAGACGAGAGGCACAAAACTTCAACAAAACAGGTGAAGAGGAGTTTAGCTTGCCGGAGTCCCTCAGGGGAGACGTATGGTCTACAGATCCTCTAGTCGGACACGACTTTTTAGAAGAAGACCTTGCTGAAGACGACATCGCCGACCATTTGAACCAGCTGTGGCGAGTATTTCAGGAGACGAGTTCACCAGCTTGCGTGCACTCCCATCTGTGCATGAAAGTGACCAACAGCACCACCGACCATCTCACTGGCAGAGACTCAAGCATGGCTCTTCTCATGTGAGTTCCAATAATGACCTTAATTTAAACCTTACCTGTCACTTACCTCTAAATAATTTACGATATTTTTATTAACAGCTCTGCACAAGTAGGAAGAATACTGTAAAATGGATAAAGTAAGTTGTATTATGTGTAAACTAAATACGCAACAGAGCCTGCAGAAGAGTGGGTCACTACACAGAGCTGTGTATGCTTAACGAAGTAATAAGAAGCCTGAAGGTATTATTTTGGTTTAATGCCTAATTGACTGCATGTGAGCCACTGAAGCTATTGCACCTGAACACTGACAACGAGAATATTTTAGTTGCTAAAATAAATTCAGTTTTTATTCACTACGAGATACACACCTCTCAGTGTATGTACTCTGAGAGATACACATCTCTCAGTGTATGTACCCTGAGAGATACACATCTCTCAGTGTATGTACTCTGAGAGATACACATCTCTCAGTGTATGTACCCTGAGAGATACACATCTCTCAGTGTATGTACTCTGAGAGATACACATCTCTCAGTGTATGTACCCTGAGAGATACACATCTCTCAGTGTATGTACTCTGAGAGATACACATCTCTCAGTGTATGTACCCTGAGAGATATATACCTCTCAGCATATGTACACTGAGAGATACACACCTCTCAGCATATGTACCCTGAGAGATACACACCTGTCAGTGTATGTACCCTGAGAGATACACACCTGTCAGCGTGTGTACCCTGAGAGATACATACCTCTTAGTGAATGTACCCTGAGAGATACACACCTCTCAGCATATGTACCCTGAGAGATACACACCTGTCAGTGTATGTACCCTGAGAGATACACACCTGTCAGCGTGTGTACCCTGAGAGATACATACCTCTTAGTGAATGTACCCTGAGAGATACACACCTCTCAGCATATGTACCCTGAGAGATACACACCTCTCAGCATATGTACCCTGAGAGATACACACCTCTCAGCGTATGTACCTTGTTCTGCAAGTTTTTCCCTCTCATGGTGTTCAGTACAATAAATGCAATTTCTTTCTAGAACTTAACACAGAATTTTTTTCCAGGGCAACAGTGAGCAACATGATGGGGGTAGTGAGGTCAGGTCAACTGGTGGATCACGTGACCAATAACCTGGTGTTAGGGAACCACTACATCTGCCCAAATCCCACCAGCTGCCACCAATACTTGCTGTAACAACTACAACATCTGCCTGACTCCCACCGGTTCCTACCAGTGCATTCGATAGCTAACCCTAACAACTGCCTGAATCCCACCGGCTGCCACCAATATTTATAGCAGCCCCTATGCTGCCTGAATCCCACCGGCTGCCACCAGCACTTATAGCAGCCCCTATGCTGCCTGAATCCCACCGGCTGCCACCAGTACTTATAGCAGCCCCTATGCTGCCTGAATCCCACCGGCTGCCACCAGTACTTATAGCAGCCCCTATGCTGCCTGAATCCCACCGGCTGCCACCAGTACTTATAACAGCCCCTATACTGCCTGAATCCCACCGGCTGCCACCAATACTCACTGTAGCTACAATGTTGTGATTGTTGTTGTAGTCTGACTGATAAAATATAAAGATAAGGGGCAAACATTAATTTATTAAAACGGCAAAATAAAAAAAGAGGAATAAGAAGTAGCAGTAGAAAAGAAGAAGAAAGAGAAGAAAGAAAAACTAGGAAAACAATTGAAGATCTGACAGCATAAGAAGACACTGGGAAATTGATTACAAATGAGCTATATCATTTTTGACTGTCGTTGCATATTACGTATTGAGCATATTGCAGACACTTCTGCCTTGCCATGCACACAACAAACTTGCAATAGAGCATCAAATATATTTGATTGATTTTTTTTAGACATCAGTGTGATTCTTTGTATATACACTGAGAGGCACCCCCCTTTGTATATACACTGAGAGCCACCTCCTTTGTATATACACTGAGAGGCACCCTCCTTTGTATATACACTGAGAGCCACCCTCCTTTGTATATACACTGAGAGGCACCCTCCTTTGTATGTACACTGAGAGGCACCCTCCTTTGTATATACACTGAGAGGCACCCTCCTTTGTATATGCACTGAGAGGCACCCTCCTTTGTATATACACTGAGAGCCACCCTCCTTTGTATATACACTGAGAGGCACCCTCCTTTGTATATACACTGAGAGGCACCCTCCTTTGTATATACACTGAGAGGCACCCTCCTTTGTATATAAACTGAGAGGCACCCTCCTTTGTATATACACTGAGAGGCACCCCTCCCTTGTATATAAACTGAAAGGCACCCTCCTTTGTATGTACACTGAGAGGCACCCTCCTTTGTATGTACACTGAGAGGCACCCTCCTTTGTATATACACTGAGAGCCATCTTCCTTTGTATACACACTGAGAGCCACCCTCCTTTGTATATACATTGAGAGCCACCCTCCTTTGGCCACCCTCCTTTGTATATACACTGAGAGCCACCCTCCTTTGTATATACACTGAGAGGCACCCTCCTTTTCATATACACTGAGAGCCACCCTCCTTTGTATATACACTGAGAGGCACCCTCCTTTGTATATACACTGAGAGGCACCCTCCTTTGTATATACACTGAGAGGCACCCTCCTTTGTATATACACTAAGAGGCACCCTCCTTTGTATTTACACTGAGAGGCACCCTCCTTTGTATATACAGTGGGGGGGTGTTCTTAAGTTTATACACTGAGATGTGTGCTAATGTATATACAGAAGAGCCCCACTTATACAGCAGCTTAGGTTCTGGGTTGCTGTAGGGCCCCACTTATACAGCAGGTTACGTTCTGGGTTACTGTAGGGCCCCACTTATACAGTAGGTTAGGTTCTGGGTTGCTGTAGGGCCCCATTTATACAGCAGGTTACGTTCTGGGTTACTGTAGAGCCCCACTTATACAGCAGGTTACGTTCTGGGTTACTGTAGGGCCCCACTTATACAGTAGGTTAGGTTCTGGGTTGCTGTAGGGCCCCATTTATACAGCAGGTTACGTTCTGGGTTACTGTAGGGCCCCATTTATACAGTAGGTTAGGTTCTGGGTTACTGTAGGGCCCCATTTATACAGCAGGTTACGTTCTGGGTTACTGTAGGGCCCCATTTATACAGTAGGTTAGGTTCTGGGTTACTGTAGGACCTCATTTGTACAGTAGGTTAGGTTCTGGGTTACTGTTGGGCCCCATTTATACAGTAGGTTAGGTTCTGGGTTAATGTAGGGCCCCATTTATACAGTAGGTTAGATTCTGGGTTACTGTAGAGCCCCACTTATAGAGCAGGTTAGGTTCTGGGTTACTGTAGGACCCCATTTATACAGTAGGTTAGGTTCTGGGTTACTGTTGGGCCCTATTTATACAGTAGGTTAGGTTCTGGTTTACTGTAGGGCCCCATTTATACAGTAGGTTAGGTTCTGGGTTACTGTAGGGCCCCATTTATTCAGTAGGTTAGGTTCTGGGTTACTGTTGGGCCCCATTTATACAGTAGGTAAGGTTCTGGGTTACTGTAGGGCCACACTTATACAGCAGGTTAGGTACTGGGCTACTGTAGGGCCCCACTTATACAGCAGGTTAGGTACTGGGTTACTGTAGGGCCCCACTTATACAGCAGGTTAGGCACCAGGTTACTCTACGGCCACACTTATACAGCCTGTTAGGTACTGGGCTACTGTAGGGCCCCACTTATACAGCAGGTTAGGTATCAGGTTACTGTAGGGCCCCACTTATACAGCAGGTTAGGTACCAGGCTACTGTAGGGCCCCACTTATACAGCAGGTTAGGTACTGGGTTAATGTAGGGCCCCACTTATAAAGCAGGTTAGGTACCAGGTTACTGTACGGCTACACTTATACAGCAGGTTAGGTACTGGGTTACTGTAGGGCCCCACTTATACATCAGGTTAGGTACCAGGCTACTGTAGGGCCCCACTTATACAGCAGTTAGGTACTAGGTTACTGTAGGGCCCCACTTATACAGCAGGTTAGGTACTGGGTTACTGTAGGGCCCCACTTATACAGCAGGTTAGGTACTGGGTTACTGTAGGGCCCCACTTATACAGCAGGTTAGGTTCCAGGGTACTGTAGAGCCCCACTTATACAGCAGGTTAGGTTCCATGGTACTGTAGGGCCCCACTTATACAGCAGGTTAGGTTCCAGGTTACTGTAGGGCCCCACTTATGCAGCAGGTTAGGTTCCAGGTTACTGTAGGGCCCCACTTATACAGTAGGTTAGGTTGCAGGTTACTGTAGGGCCCCACTTATACGGCAGGTTAGGTTCCAGGGTACTGTAGGGCCCCACTTATACAGCAGATTAGGTACCAGGCTACTGTAGGGCCCCACTTATACAACAGGTTAGGTACTAGGTTACTGTAGGGCCCCACTTATACAGCAGGTTAGGTACTGGGTTACTGTAGGGCCCCACTTATACAGCAGGTTAGGTACTGGGTTACTGTAGGGCCCCACTTATACAGCAGGTTAGGTTCCAGGGTACTGTAGGGCCCCACTTATACAGCAGGTTAGGTTCCAGGGTACTGTAGGGCCCCACTTATACAGCAGGTTAGGTTCCAGGTTACTGTAGGGCCTCACTTATACAGCAGGTTAGGTTCCAGGTTACTGTCGGGCCCCACTTATGCAGCAGGTTAGGTTCCAGGTTACTGTAGGGCCCCACTTATACAGTAGGTTAGGTTCCAGGTTACTGTAGGGCCCCACTTATACAGCAGGTTAGGTTCCAGGGTACTGTAGGGCCCCACTTATACAGCAGGTTAGGTACCAGGCTACTGTAGGGCCCCACTTATACAGCAGGTTAGGTACTAGGTTACTGTAGGGCCCCACTTATATTTCAGGTTAGGTACTGGGTTACTGTACGGCCTTACTTATACAGCAGGTTAGGTACTGGGTTACTGTAGGGCCCCACTTATACAGCAGGTTAGGTTCCAGGGTACTGTAGGGCCCCACTTATGCAGCAGGTTAGGTTCCAGGTTACTGTAGGGCCCCACTTATGCAGCAGGTTAGGTTCCAGGTTACTGTAGGGCCCCACTTATGCAGCAGGTTAGGTTCCAGGTTACTGTAGGGCCCCATTTATACAGCAGGTTAGGTTCCAGGGTACTGTAGGGCCCCACTTATACAGCAGGTTAGGTACCAGGCTACTGTAGGGCCCCACTTATACAGCAGGTTAGGTACTAGGTTACTGTAGGGCCCCACTTATGCAGCAGGTTAGGTTCCAGGTTACTGTAGGGCCCCACTTATACAGCAGGTTAGGTTCCAGGTTACTGTAGGGCCCCACTTATGCAGCAGGTTAGGTTCCAGGTTACTGTAGGGCCCCACTTATACAGTAGGTTAGGTTCCAGGTTACTGTAGGGTCCCACTTATACAGCAGGTTAGGTTCCAGGGTACTGTAGGGCCCCACTTATACAGCAGGTTAGGTACCAGGCTACTGTAGGGCCACACTTATACAGCAGGTTAGGTACTAGGTTACTGTAGGGCCCCACTTATACAGCAGGTTAGGTACTGGGTTACTGTAGGGCCCCACTTATACAGCAGGTTAGGTACTGGGTTACTGTAGGGCCCCACTTGTACAGCAGGTTAGGTTCCAGGGTACTGTAGGGCCCCACTTATGCAGCAGGTTAGGTTCCAGGTTACTGTAGGGCCCCACTTATGCAGCAGGTTAGGTTCCAGGTTACTTTAGGGCCCCACTTATACAGCAGGTTAGGTTCCAGGTTACTGTAGGGCCCCACTTATACAGCAGGTTAGGTACTGGGTTACTGTAGGGCCCCACTTGTACAGCAGGTTAGGTTCCAGGGTACTGTAGGGCCCCACTTATGCAGCAGGTTAGGTTCCAGGTTACTGTAGGGCCCCACTTATACAGTAGGTTAGGTTCCAGGTTACTGTAGGGTCCCACTTATACAGCAGGTTAGGTTCCAGGGTACTGTAGGGCCCCACTTATACAGCAGGTTAGGTACCAGGCTACTGTAGGGCCACACTTATACAGCAGGTTAGGTACTAGGTTACTGTAGGGCCCCACTTATACAGCAGGTTAGGTACTGGGTTACTGTAGGGCCCCACTTATACAGCAGGTTAGGTACTGGGTTACTGTAGGGCCCCACTTGTACAGCAGGTTAGGTTCCAGGGTACTGTAGGGCCCCACTTATGCAGCAGGTTAGGTTCCAGGTTACTGTAGGGCCCCACTTATGCAGCAGGTTAGGTTCCAGGTTACTTTAGGGCCCCACTTATACAGCAGGTTAGGTTCCAGGTTACTGTAGGGCCCCACTTATACAGCAGGTTAGGTTCCAGGTTACTGTAGGGCCCCACTTATGCAGCAGGTTAGGTTCCAGGTTACTGTAGGGCCCCACTTATACAGTAGGTTAGGTTCCAGGTTACTGTAGGGTCCCACTTATACAGCAGGTTAGGTTCCAGGGTACTGTAGGGCCCCACTTATGCAGCAGGTTAGGTTCCAGGGTACTGTAGGGCCCCACTTATACAGCAGGTTAGGTACCAGGCTACTGTAGGGCCCCACTTATACAGCAGGTTAGGTACTAGGTTACTGTAGGGCCCCACTTATACTTCAGGTTAGGTACTGGGTTACTGTACGGCCTTACTTATACAGCAGGTTAGGTACTGGGTTACTGTAGGGCCCCACTTATACAGCAGGTTAGGTTCCAGGGTACTGTAGGGCCCCACTTATGCAGCAGGTTAGGTTCCAGGTTACTGTAGGGCCCCACTTATGCAGCAGGTTAGGTTCCAGTTACTGTAGGGCCCCACTTATGCAGCAGGTTAGGTTCCAGGTTACTGTAGGGCCCCATTTATACAGCAGGTTAGGTTCCAGGGTACTGTAGGGCCCCACTTATACAGCAGGT